TATTTATATTGTGCATAATCAATATCAGTCGACCTTTTCATAAGCAACAAAAGGAATTTAATCAAAAACTTTAGAATTCATAAATATATTTAACTGTTACTTTCAAGTTAACCTTGCATGAATTGAACTGAATATCGAACATCACTTCAAATTGCTTTATGTCTTGTATAGCAGTCATACAACACTTTACAGGCTTTTTAAACTAGCTCAAATTCTCAATGCGATTAGGATTTGTGCCTTAAGCAGACCAGTATATTGTTACAATATCATTCTCCTTAAGGTGTATCAAAAGAAATCATTAGTCAGTCAACCTAACATGTAACCGACTGAGTAGAGACAGCATTAAATTATCTAGATATTCTGTAAAACTTATTGTTTTCATCCGTAAACCACGGTCTAATCAATGTGATCTTGGACAAAAACCAGAATGTGACTTGCTGCAGGAAACAAGGATTGAACTTGCTGAACTGTAAGTTGTCACAATCTGTTGTCCTAATCTTCGTCGAATACTACAAACGTTTACTGAGTTTACGTTGAACTTTGCAAAAAGCACTTTGAAGTCTTCTAGTGGTTTTATTCGAACTCAGAATCCAGCAATAGTGAAAACGTGACCTGTACCTTGATGACAGTATGATGACAGTATATTACAAAACAAATCTCAACAACTCTTTACGAATCACTTCTACTTAACATTGATAATACATAAACAATGAGTTCTGAAAATGTAATGGTTTCTTAGGATCCGCAAATTTACTGATTATTTTTGTTTGTTCTTTCTCCTCTATACAAAAGTCACGATATCCTTAAGATATTAAAAAAAAACTGTTAAGATCTAATTTATTAATATGGTTCGTTTTCTCTGACGCCCAGTAAAGTTAAATATTGTTAAAATATACAAAGTTTAGAAATAAAGAAGTTATTTGCATGCATTTTTATTTTATATATAAATAGACAGCACAAATTTCATCTCTTTGTCGGACGCCTCTGGTAGTGGGAAATTCTGAAGTGTTTTCATAATTTTTTAGCTTAGCTTTTGCTCGTCTGTATATATTTACTAAAGTTTCTATGTACGGTTTGTCAATGCCTTGGTTGGTCAAAGCTTCTATTACTGCCTTGGGATATATAGAATCGAAAACCTTCTCGAAATCTATGAACGTTAATGCTAGCGTGATCCTTTAGCTCTACTCTTAGTTCCCGAAATGTATAAATATGATCCATGGTGCTGAATCCACTTCTGAATCCAGCTTGCTCTCTCGGCTGTGCAGCATCTAAAGCATCTTGATAATCTTTGTGAATATCTTGTATATGATTGGTATTAGATTTATAGGTCTGTAGTTTTTGATATCCTCTTTGCTACCTTTCTTATGAATGAGAATTATGTTTGTTGTATTCCAGTGGTGGGGTATGCATCTCGATCTTAGGCAGTTCGTGAATATGTATGCCTAATAAGATTTTCCAGTTTTTATTGCCAGCGTATTTAAGCAGTTCCACTGTTATACGAAAATCGTTTCAGAGTAAAGATTAAAAAGGAGGGGTGACAGAACACAACCCTGTCGTACACCTTTTTCGATTGAGAAATATGATGTAGATTCCAGTCCTACTCTCACAGATGCCACTTCATCATCATCATTGGCTTTTACAACTCTTCGTGAGTTTTTGCCGCGTTTACTATTGCCTTCCATTGATTCCGATCCTGTGCTATTATTTCCCATGGCCTTATTTCCATCTTCTCCAGGTCTTCCCTGACTGCGTCTTTCCACCTTTTTCTAGGCCTTCCTGTCGATCTTTTACCATCTGGTCTTTCCCAAAACACATTGCTAATCAGTCTGTCGTCATCACTCCGTACCACGTGGCCTGCCCATCTTAATCTATTGGCTTTTATGTATCTTACGATGTTTCCTTTCCCGAAGAGAGTCTCTATTTCATTGTTGTATCTGCTCCTCCATTCATTTGTCACGCTGTCCCTGCAAGGACCATATATAATTCGCAGGATTTTGCGTTCCCATACTAATAGCTTATTGATTTCTTTCTTTCTCAATGTCACTTCCATATTTCACTGCTGGTCGTTTTATGGTTTTGTACATTTGGATTTTGGCACGCCTTTGAGCTTTGACCTCATTAGATGTTGAATGGCAAAGAATGATTTATTCCCCGCCAGTATTCGTATTTCAACCTCCCGTTCTCCTGTGTTTTCACTGGTAATTGTTGCTCCTAGATATTTAAATTCTTTGACCACCTCAAAATTATGATCGTTTATGGTAATGTTTTGTCTTATTCGCTGTCGTTCCTTTTTTGATACGACCATGTATTTAGTTTTTTCTTCGTTTATTTTCAGGCCTACGCTTAGTGTTGCTTCTTCAAAGTTCGATACTATATCCTTAACTTCCAGTGTTGTCTGTGCTACTGCATCTACATCTTCTGCAAATGCGAGAATAATCTTTGCTCCTCTGGCAATTATGTCTGGTTTGACTCTGGTATAGATTTTTCGCATTGCGTATTCCAATGCTAGGTTAAATATTAATGGGGACAGCGGGTCTCCCTGTCTGAGCTCGGTGCTTATGCCGAAAGCCTTTGAAGTTTTGCCTCCTATTCTAATTTGTACAAAGGAATTGTTGACACACATTCGCGCAATCATGGTCAGCTTTTTTGGTACGCCTAACTCCATCATTGCACTCCACAGTTTTAAACGATCTATGGAATCATATGCTTGTTTGAAATCTATGAAGATCTGGTGTACTTCTTTATTATAATCCCAATACTTTTCTAGCATTTGTCTGATAGTAAATATTTGGTCGATTGTTGATCTTCCAGGCCTAAAGCCGCATTGGTAATCGCCAATAATTTCCTCTGTATATGGCAGTAATCGTTTTAGTACAACTGAAGCTAATATCTTATATATAGTACCGATTAGTGAGATTCCCCTGTAGTTGCCACATGTATCCTTTCTGCCTTTTTTATGTATTGGCACGATAATACATCCACTCCATTCTTTTGGCATTATTTCTTGTTCCCAGGCTTCTTTATTTCTATTTATTTATTTTCCTTCACAATACTGTTAAAACTGCAAGGTTGTATATGACCTGTCACTTCTTTAACGAGTTTATGTATGTTAAAGTGCTCATGTTTTCTTCCAATTCCTCCATTTCTGCACACCTGTCGAGCAGGCACTGTTCTTTAGCTTTACGACACTCTTTTCGTATTTGTCAGTTAATCTGCTGATGTTTGGTTCGGTCTTTGTTTTTAAATGATCTGCGGTCGTCCATTTTTGATAATATTTCGTCAGTCATCCAATGCTTCTTTTTATACTTTTGAGAAGCGATCAGCGACTTGGTGGTGGTTACGATAGTTTTTTTAATACAATTCCATTTGCCTTCTATACTGGCTGGTTGATTGGATCTTGCCGTGATATCCGCTATTGCCTCATTTAATTTAATAAACGATAAAGATGTGTGAGATGTGTATAACTGCCAAGATTGTTGATAAGGTTATGGCATGTCAACAAAATTGAAGGCTGATTCACTTTTGCAAACGGTGTTATAAGCAACATCCACATTCGGTTGGAAAAATGTGGGGTGGATGTTTTGCGCCATTTTTCATTACGAATGACGAATTAGTATAGAAAAAAAAAATAATTTCTAAAATACAATTAATCAACCAAAAAAAAATTAGATAAGAATTTTCCACAAATACTACTGAGTACTGCGTTTTTCTTTGATTATATACAATAAAGGTTCTTTATTGTAGGAGGAAGACCGGTCAAGAAAATCAAAGGAATTATGTTTCCAACAAAAGACTGTTGTCATTCGACTCAATTTAAACAACACTCTAAATAGAATCTTGGATACGGTCGGGTTTTTTACTGACATTGTGGATTCACTTCCGTTTCCATCTTTTCCAAATGGAAAATAATGTCGTACCTGAAGTATAAATAAATTTTTTCTGTTATTTTTAAGGTATAAATAAAATATTGTTTTCTGTTATTTCGTTTTATATTATATAAAGGCGAAATATATTTTTATGGTTTAAATATAAATAGGTTTAGATATATTCTTGCTATTATACAGAGTGGCCCAAAAGTCTGGAAACGGCTAATTATCTCGTAAATTACTAGACATAATTATACAAAATTTGAGATACGCCTATTTTGGGATACGGAGATTCCATATTTGGTATTTGCAATGTTGCCAGATTTTCAGTTTCTCTTATATTATTAGTAACTTTGGTTTTTAAAATAAATCACCCTGTATATTCATCTATTATTGGAATCTCCTATTCAATACGAGTTCAACCATATGTAACACTTATGATTTATCCACGACCCCAGCTCTCCTACCAAAACCTGAGTGCCGTTCGCACAAGTAGCGATTATTTTGCTTGCCTTATCTCCACCCCTTTAGTTTCAGTCCCCAATTTTCTACCCCTTGTATTGGTACCCCGTGTGGTAGGCAAAATACTACCGTTAAAAACTTTTCACGGGCCACGCTACATCGCTTGCTGAGTGATATGGATTTTATGTTTATAAAACGTGGCAGAAATTCCAAAAATTCGTGGTAGGTTTCCAAATAATATTGACCATCGAACTATTTGGGTAGCAAATTCAGGAAAAAACATAAAGATTTTTTATTGTAGCATTATTTTGATACTTATTAAAAAATTAACTTGAATTCAACTATATTTAATTGTATTAATTTTAAAGCAAATAAAATTGTATTTTAATTTTTCTATAAAGACGTGATTTGTTAATAGTTAAACTCTCGTTCTTTTTAATTCTTTGAACGTGTTTTTATACATTATTACTACTTCCAATTTTTAAAATCTGAATAATTACCCGCGAGTAAAAATTCACGCACGCTTATGCTCATTGCGGAAGCATCACATTCTATCGAAGCTTCAAAACATTGTGTGTTAAAGATATCTTATTGCTGTGTCCATCTATGTTTATACGTCCATGACTGAGTAATAAATTTCCTACATGCAATTAAATTATTTATTAAGCTTACCTCTCTTTGGTGCGACCTGTTCAGCTCCCACCAACTGTCCCCAAATGTAACACTTTCTAACGTTCATCAACGGTTGGGGGAAGTCTCTAAGCAAAAATTTCCACTCGGCGCATCTAAAAGAGATGACCCGGCACCAAAGCGTTGAAAATTCCATATGTTCTTCGGGCCAAGGGGTGTCGTGGTCTATTTCTCTCATGGTTCGGATAACGTTTTCCCTGCCATGAATGGTTGGATCAGCAAGAATCTAAAATCAACAGACAAAAAGTAAGTGTATGCGTTAATTTGTATAGTGGTTCTATATATGACAAGTTAATTTATATTACAATGTTTTAATTTATATTTCTGTACAAAGAACTGTTTTAATTTAATTAGAAATCGAAATGTCTGCTTTGCCAGTTTTTTTTTGTCAGAAGAGACATTGTAGCAACACCCTTGTGTTAGAAGACTTCTACGAGCTTTAGCGCAAAAATTCAGTATAACCTATAAAACTACAGCGTAGTTCGATTAGTACAGTTATATTAAAAAAAAGGGTACAAGTATTAGAAAGAGAAGTTAACGTCATCCTATTTGTGTAAAACCGGCTGGGATTTTTGGAGGTTATCAAATGTCACAGGTTATTAAAAATATAAATCATTGGCGTTGAGCATTAATTAGACGAAACCATTATATAACCAATAATTTTAATGACTGTTACAAATAGAATTTAGTATTTGGTGAAAGAACCGTCTGCTTCTATAACTTTATTTAGTCTATTTGGCATACTTTGAATTATATTAGATATCATATTTGGATCAAGATCTTCCCAGCACTCTAAGATTGTATCCCACAATTGATCTGAATTTTGTGGCATAAAATTTCTTTTATATGTTATTTTAACAATTATGCCCCAAATTTTTTCAATTGGATTTATATCTGGACTGTGCGCAGGCCATGGCAATACTTCCAGGTTTTGCGTTTGAAACCAATTCCTTACGGCATGGGCAGTGTGGACTGAACAATTATCTTGTTGATATATAAAAGTATTATTAGGATACAATTGCTCAATAGAAGGGAGCATTACGTGTTCCAAAACGTTCATGTAATTGTCGGCAGTAAATCTTCTCTCTAATCGCCAACAAACACCAGGTCCATGTATACTAATCCAACCCCATACATACGTCCAGAAATGATTTGTAGTACCATGAATTCTCCTTGTAGTGAACTATCAAAATTTTTATTAAATATTTTAAAACCATTTACAAATAAAAATGACATATTCATAAAAAATACACAACATTTTTTAAATAAATTATCAAATATTGAATTTAATTCAAATCATACTTTGGTAAGTTTTGACATAAATAGTTTATTTACGAATGTGCCATTAAATAAGACTTTAAGTATAGTCAAGACAAAATTAGAGAGTGATGATTCATTGGCAATTAGAACAAGACTAAACATATCGGCTATAATGGAGTTATTATCGTCGACAGCCTGATAATAAGGACGACTGCCTGGAAGAAAATTGTATCACTCTGAGTTAAAATAAAGCTCTAAAAGATGCAGAAAAGCTGAATGTGTTTGTGCACTATAATTTTAATGACAATATGAAATGGCTCGTTTGCATAATACTTCAAAAACAATCAAAATTACAGACTTTTTGTACTAGATATTTCGTTGTTAGCTTACATGAAATAAATAAATATTTTTATTTAAATATTCAGTTCCTTTAGAATTTTACCGGTCGCTTAGCCGTCGTTATAACCGGATTTTATTGCATTCAATATTTATATTATTAAAAAGCTTACCAAAATTTCTACATTAGTCATATGCCAAGCAAACAACCTGGTTCTTTGAGGGGCGGCTTTGTACATTAATTTAGATCTTTGGACATATATATCTGCATTTTTCTTCTTTAACGTTGCATACAACTCTTCAACTTTACCCGCCATATGTAGATGTGTCTTCAATAAATCGGCAATCTAAAACAAAGACACCATAAAACAATTTCTTTTCTACGAAGAAATGAAGAAACGACGTACAAGAGAAAGAAAAATGTTAGAAATAATGTCGGTACGAAATAAACGGTACAGATGTAAGGAAAATAATTTTTAGAATAAAAAAATTATTGAAAAACCCTTTATAAAAGGTATATAATTAAAAGATCCTTTCAAACTAGATGACAGAAGGTTTTCGAACTAAGTCAATCATCACTGTAGGCGGTGTACATGAGTCAAACCCCTAAATATTTGGGTAAAAACCCTTAAAATGGTACAAAATTTGTTATCTGTTAAAAAGTTACCCTGCATGGCAACGTAAGACTCCCAATTGGGGGTTGCTGATCCTGACCGATGTCTCTGTATGCACCCTCTGTAATTCAGTCGCCATCTAGAGCCCATACAGAGACATCGCTAAGGGTCAGCAACTCCATTGGAAGTCTTCCGTTGCCATGCAGGGTATGTGTTAAAAACTTAAACATCATACTAGCTTTTTAACAAAGATGTAACAAATAACGAATTTTGTACATAAGGGTTTTTATTTATATATTTTATATATATTTTCTTATTTAGTGGATTGGCTCATGTACACCTGGTAAATGCACTGATGATATACTTGTTAGTCCAAAAACGTTATATGATGTAGCCCGAAAGGGTCTTTTAATTATATACCTTTTATAAAGGATTTTTAAATAAAACTTTTGTGATTTATATATACAGCCAACTACAGGAATTTACGTTTCCTTGTGAATAAAAAAAAATAATCTTTCTAGTCAAAGATCTCTGTAGACTTATTGTTGCATTAATAGAATGAACGAGGATTTGAAATAAAGTGTATGAATTTGTTATTTTATTGTTGATTAGATTACGTTAGGTTAGGTTAGGTCCAGAATACGCCAATGCAAGAAATATTTAAATAACAATCTACATACCTTATCTTTCAGCATCTTTTGTCGTTTCAAGCTCTCATTATATTCGTCTTCTAATAATTCAAAATTATCTCTCAATTTGACTTCAAATGGATCGTCACTCATTTCAAATAAAAATTCTTTAACCTAAAATAAATTGAAAATGCTGATACGATAATTAAATTCAATCTAGTTATTTACTTAATCCGTAAATCCTGCACGTACTTTTATATTCCACTGGTTAATACATAGTAGTGAAGAATAAGAGGATGTTAACCGAACACAAAAAATGATTTTTTATCATATTCGTTCTAGGACGAGTAGACAGAAGCACAGAATAATAAACAATCAAAATGTCCACACTTAGATGCCGCCTTTGAAGTTTTTCAGCACGCGCGCCATGTTTTAGAAGGAAACACATAAGACAGACATATGATTTGTGAGGTTATGTAATTGTTTATATTTATGTTTAATTATATTATATTTATGTTATTATATTTAACAATGTTAATATAATTGTATAGTATGTCTATGATTGCCGTAAGTCAATTAAACCGGGTTAATTTTTCTATGTACACCACATAAACAACACTGGTTCCCTCTAAAACATGGCGGAACGTCTGCGCGAAGGAGATGCGCGTACTTAATTTGCAGTGTTTTAAAAGTCTTACGAATGCGGCAAGTGAATTAGGACTTATAAACGAGGAAAAAACCAAATAAATGTTGGTTTCTAAAAACTACCGAAATATTCAAATGAGAATTCAAATTACTACCATACCTTTGAGCAAGTCAAAGAATTCACATATCTTAGATCGCTAGTAAACGCAACAAACACGACAAGCGACGAAATATAAAGACGCATAGCAATAGCAAACAGAACTGTTCATGGTCTCTAGAAACATTTAAAAAATAAAAATATAAAACGTGCAGTAAAGTTCAATATACAGTGATGAGTGCTTTACCACCCGGCTTTTTAACGTAAGAGATAGATAACACAGTTACCTCGTGAAATAAAAAGAGATGAAACTCGTAGAGGTGGGAAATAATCGATAGAAACCTATAATTTACATTACATTGCATTACCACCATCGATAGTCTCACACCTTTAGACGTTAGACGTGGCTATTTGACTTCAGTTCAGTCATAATTATACGGATAACCTCAAAAATATTTTATTTTAATAATTTCTGATGTTGGAATAAATACTTGAATAAATTAAGATATATTATAGTAAAAAACTATCATTCGTAGCGATTTTAAATTATAAATCTTTGTTTATTTAATAATAAAAATAATTCAACTGAAATATTTGACTAAAATAAAGGTAGGTATGTTCTGTCCGAAAACAATTAATGTATGTGGAATTGGTGTAGTAGTTAGGGACGTTGTCTATTGACGAGAAAATTGAGGTTCAATTCACACCAAGGATAAAATTTTTGTTTTATCAATCAAAAAAATAATCGAAAATATGATACATATTAGGTAACAAATTTTCGAAAAACTCATTATTTAGAATTTATTTTTATTCCAATGTTATAAAACGGAAACACAAAATAATTCAAATTCAATTCATACAATCTTCAGTTTTGAATGCAAAATAATCCGGTGAAGACTGTTTATATCAAATCCATCACTAAATTCTCAATGTTAATATCAATTTCTCTGTACAGGTAATGATTTTCAAAACAATTGACAATTGTAAATACGTTTATTTACAATATTTTTTATTTTTGTAGAATTTTTACTTATTTAAACATTCTTTAAACGTTCTTTTAATTTTGAGGAATTTTTACTTTATTTTCGAAAGTATGATGGACACTTTTTTCAATAAGATATTTATGTTTAACTTTAAACACTTCTAATACTAGTAACGACTGACATAAATGTTCAAAAGCCAAACGATCTCTGCATAATTTCAAATTATTAAAAAAAAACACATGTAGGTTTTGAACTCTAATCGTCTGCACCGCAGTGTCGAATTCTTACCACTAATTCACGATCGATTGATAATTATTTCGTGACAAGAGCAGAGAACTAACGACCACAGTTAGAAACTTGTGTTCGTAGTTCTCTGACAAGAGTATGAAACTCCTAAAATCGTAGTAGAAATTATTGTTGGTTAATAATTTAAAACTTTAGATTAAATTTAAATAAAAATTTAGATAAAATTAATTTAGATTATATAATCTAAAGGTGAGATTAACGTCTAAAGGTGTGAGACTATCGATAGTGGTAATAAAATGTAATGTAATTATAGATTTCTATCGATTATTTCCCACCTCTACGAGTTTCATCTCTTTTTATTTCACAAGGTAACTGTGTTTTCTATCTCTTACGTTAAAAAGCCGGGTGGTAAGACACTCAGCACAGTATACAAGACCTTAATAAGACCGGACCTTAATAAGACCGGACCTTATTTCAAAATCAAGAAAGACTTCTTGGTATTTTTAAGAGAAAACTTCTTAGAAAGATTTTTGGGCCCATAAATGAAAATGGGCTATGGCGTCGAAGATACAACTATGAATTATATCAGTTATACACCGACCCAGATATTGTGAAATTCGTTAAAGTACAGAGACTTGGATGGGCTGGACACATTGCTAGGATGTCAGATCACGAATACAAGAAGAATTAACATTTTTAAAACCAGAGGACACAAGAAGCAGAGGACGACCACGAAGGAGATTGATTGATGATGTGGAAAAAGACCTACATATACTAAGGGTCAGAAGATGGATGGAAGTTGCCAGGGATCGACAGGAGTGGCGATTTCTTTGTGAGCAGGCCAAGATCCACAACGGATTGTCGAGCCATTTATGATGATGACCAAATTCGTTCTGTATTATACCTAGAGGGTGAGCCAAAAGTCAGTTAACCGAGAATATTAATAAAAACAAACAGTGACGAGATTCAAAAACTTAGGGCCGGTTGTTCGAACGCCGTTCTAATGAAACTTGATTGTAATCAAATATTTAATTACAAGCAAATACGTCACAGCAGCTGTCAAAATTATTAAAAATTGCTTATTATTATTATTATTGATTTGTAAATAAAAACATGAAATTAACATCAGAAAGAGTTTAATTCAAACACATTAAGATAGCACGTCTGAGGTGGACAGGGTATGTAATGCGGATGAAGAAAACCGACTCAGCTAGAAAAACGCTCCTTGATAGACCTATTGGTCAAAGAAGAAGAGGAAGACCCAGAACAAGATTCCTAGATAACATAGACCAAGATATGAGAAATATGGAAATACGTGCTTAGCGGAGGAAGGCGATGGATAGGGACCACTGGAAGAGAATTATTGGGGAGGCTAGGACCCACACAGAGTTGTAAAGCCAAAATGATGATGAAGAGTTTCATCATCACCATCCAGCCTCAAGAGTCCATCGCTGAACATAGGCCTCTTCCTCATGTTTCCAACCCCATCTATCTTGCTCCGCTCTTATCCACTTTTTATTGAGTCTTCTTAAATCGTCAGTCCATTAAATTAAAACGCAAAATAATAAAATTGAATAAAATAAACCAGTCAACATAACCTCAAAATGTGACGTATTTGATTTTAATTAAATATTTAATTACAATACAGTTTTGATTAGCGTTCGAACAACCGGCCCTTAGTTTATTAGCAAAAACACTTAAATATATACTGCCATACAATTTTGACGAATTAATCGTCACAATTGTATGTAGTGATTGCCGAGATCTTGCCGCCAGCGATTTTTTCCTGTTTCCAACCGAAAAAAAAAATAACTCGGAGGACGCTGTTTCGCAACAAATGGAAGTCGTCGCTGAAACTTCGGCCTGAAGAGCTCGAGCAAAAGTACTATATAACATCGTCTTACTAAGTGTATCGAGCTAAAAGGGGACTGTGTTGAGAAGTAAATCGATTTAATTCCAAAAAAACTTGTTTTTCTATTAAAGGTACAACAACATAACACATTGATATTCATTATAACCGGCTTGTAGAAATATGTGGGTGATAATGACGTATAACCAGTAATCAAAGAAATGGACTGTTATATTAAGGAGTTTAGACTTTTACCATCACTGTTATAGTACAAACAATAAACAAAAACTTACATTTATTAGCAAATCGCTTGGAAGAGGACCTTCTACAGACCGATCCTTCTTCAAATTGTGTACAATTTTCAACCATTTAAAAACAGAAACGAATTGATTCTGATAAGCTTCCGCAAAGTTATGTTCATATGGAAAAACTGCCTTGAATAGATCGATTGAAACGCCCCACGTTTTGTTGAAAGGTACTGCAAAGGTTTCCACGTCTGATCTTTCGGCCTCTATAATAGGATGACATTTTATGGGATGGAAGTTGATGCCGTTTATTGTGAATATTTCGGCATCATCAATTGATATCACCAGTGATGTGTTCAGATATGTTTCGGGTGGTTTAGTAAGATCGTCTAGTTTTTTCGTAACTTTTAATTCATCTGAAAATAAGAAGAAACAATAGGAACAAAGACACAATATTTTTTATTTTTATGATTTTCTGGATTTTACTACCTGGTCTAGTCCATAGACATATGATATAAATATAATATAAGATAGACAGATTCTCGCATTTCGACCGCCATGGAATCTGGTCATGGACCGCCATGGAATCATGGAGTCCATTATGGGTAGATAGATTCTTTGTCTTCCGTTTTTCGATTACCTGCAGAACGAATATACCATCAGTGCACGATCTTCCTGCATCAAATCCATTTTGTTCTTCTATGTCTTCGTATTGTCATTCTATTCTTTTTTTTTATTATCCGACCGTACAACCTCCCACTGAGCTGATAACAGTTATTCCCTTATAATTAGAGCATTTGCGTTTATCCCCTTTCTTAAATATTGAGCTGATGTATCCAACATTTCAATAATCAGGGATATTTTCTCCTTTTAAACATGTGTTAAATAGTTGAACCAACATCTCATGTAATATTTTTGGTCCATACTTTACCAACTCAATTGTGATGTCTCCAGATAGTGCTGCTTTACCGTTTTTTGATCTTTTGAGGGCATCGCTTAACTCTCCGGTTGTTATCTCAATTATTTGTGTATGTTCGGATATTTCTTCCATTTCGATCTCTTGGAATTTACATTTATCCCTCCGTCCGGCTCACGGAGATAAGAATACGGCCGGGGCCAGAAGACCCCGCCTGTCGTAAGAGGCGTCTAATGGGCGGATATGAGAGGTGGAGAGCCGTCGTTTGAGGTGTCGAGCGTCGTGCGAGGTGGAATTCTTCCGTGAGTCCCCCGGGGGGGACTCACGGAAGCGTTCTGAAATCCTATACAACAGAATAAAACATCTGCTCATATGTCTATGGCTTGGCAATGAAAATATCAGAGCAACAGATTGGGGATGGTATTCCAAAGATGGTTTGTTATTACCCGTACGCATGAACAAACAACCTGCACCCGATGAACTTTTGTTGTTGTTGTTATAAATGTAAATATTTTCAACTATTTATGTAAATGTATAAGAATATATGGTGCCTTTTTATGTTGATAAATTTTCTTGTATTTAATTCTACTTTTTTCAATTTATATCTATTAAATTAGTTTATAAAAACTGCAATGTTATAAAGGGTGATATTCAAAAGTTGAAAAGTTGCAAAATTTTGGCAAAAAATTGTTTCCACCTATAGCACTCATAACAATTGATTTTTAAGGGTTGAAAATGTATGAAATTGTATTTTAAAGTATAAAAAAATCACTATTTAACTAATCCAAACCAAATTTCACTCATCTTAAGATTTGTAATGTTATTTTACAATTTTTGAAAATTAGGGGTAGTTTTCACCCCTAAGAACAATCAGGGTTCATCGGCATGACATAAACAATAAAGCAGAGAGTGAGTTGAGCTTAATTCCAAATTTTTATCCAAATCGTTCCAAGGCGAAATCATTTTCTTCGCATTACTACTTTACATTAATCTCTAACAAGGGTCGCTTTTTAAGGGTTGCAATATGATGGAACTTTATTCAAAAGAACGAAACTATTATTATTTAATTAATTTAAACCAAATTTTACCTATATTCAGGTTTAATATGTTATTTTATAATTTTTGACAACTAGGGGTAGTTTTCACCCCTAAGAACAATCAGGGTTTGTCAACATGACATAAACTATAAAGCAGTGGGTGAATTGAGCTTAAATCCAAATTTTTATCCAAATCGATCCAAAGCGAAATCATTTTTTAGAATTAGTAATTTTTTACATTAATCTCTAACAAGGGTTGCTTTTTAAGGGTTGAAATATGATGAAACTCTATTCAAAAGTATAAAGTAATCATTATTTAACTAATTCAAACCAAACCTTAGCCATATTCAGGTTTAATATGTTATTTTATAATTTTTATAATTAGAGGTAGTTTTCACCCCTAAAACCCTTCAGCGCACTTCGGCTCGATATAGATTTTGATCCTTGGGCTATCACCTACCTTCTGTTAAAATTTCAACTCAATGCATGCAGGACGAAAAAATTGCGAAGTTTTAACTTTTTTCGAGCTTCATTTCCTGAACTATTATCGCTTCCTTTACGCAAACAACATTGTAACATTGTTGCGAGACAGATAGTTGAACGATATTTTATACAATGTCTATACCCAGGTATGAATTTATTTTTGTCCGAGTTTTATATTGGTCCACTATTTCAAATGCAGTTCAAACAGACATATTAAATTGTATGATCCGTTTTAAATTCGTTCAATCTGTATGCTACTTACCTAAGGCAACTTTTGCACTATGTTCAGGGCTGATATCAATGTGGAATTCAAACTTTCCAAAAATATTTAAATTCTTCACGAATTTCTCCGTGGGTCCTTTATAAGATTCGATCTTCAACTCGTCTTTTATCCCAGTCCAAAATTTCATCATACTCCGAATCAACAGCAACGATTTCATGTGAAAATTTGTAGACCAATATGTTACAATCGTATCTAGAAGTGTAAGCGTAGTTTCTTTAATGTTATCTTTATTTTCACGGATCTCTAGACAAGTCGTTTTGATAAAAGCTTTATAGTTGGAAATGTCTTCTGTTCGGATACACGTGTAACAATCTCCGCTATTTTTTATGCTGAAAATTTTAAATTCTTCGAACTTAATACTGGTATTCTTCAGAGATTTATCCACACTGATGGTGTTCAATCGGGTTATGAAATATTCTGTAAAATAGAAAAAGATGTATTAGTAGACTTATAAAGAGAAAATTCACAGTTAACGGCTGTACCTATAGTATACCATAGTCACAAAAAACCTTACAATGAACTAAAAACTTCTAGTGAAACTGGTATATTTGTGAAACTAATAACATTTTGAAAATAACCAAAAGAATTACAATTTTCAAAACGTTTTCGGTCCTATTAGATCATCATCAGTGACACCGAAAAGTAAGTAATCCCATTTTAATTTAATGAATAAAGGAGGTAAAATTTTGACTGTTAATACAAGATCATATTCAGATTGAACGAAATAAATTCGGAACATACGAAATATTATGTATTTCGGCTCAATTTTGCTGTAGGTGGTTGGCCAACAAAAGGTTGTCAAATATTTATATTATAAAAATATAATATTTCATCGGGCTGCTGGATTCTGAAATCATAAAAATTGAAAGCTACACATAAATCTACGATTTTATTATGCTGTCAAACCAGTTGTCGCTTCTTTAGACAAGTCCTTCTGTGAGCGGTGTTGCCAACGTCATTCCTTTAAATGTTTCTCAAATAAGGTGTTATCCATAAAATATTTACAAGAAAAAAAGAAAATAACTACAAACCATTAAGTTTAGTTTTGTTATTAGTCTGTTGTAGTAGATTGGTAAATACAATGAAAAATATAGGCAAATATCCGATATATTTAAAGATACGAAGAAGATATAACTCTCAAAAAGATCCGCAAATCGGATTATTACATGGCGATTGGCAACATTGCTACGCAAACAACATTGTTGCGAAACAGATAGTTGAACGATATTTTATACAATGTCTAAACCCAGGTATGGATTTATTTTTGTCCAAGTTTTATATTGGTCCACTACTTCAAATGCAGTTCAAACAGACATATTTATATTAAATTGTATGATCCGTTTTAAATTCGTTCAATCTGTATGATTACTTACTTAATACAGAATACAGAAAGAATAGTTAACAGTGTGTAATGAAGATATATCTTCTTCTTGGTCGTTAACCTGATGCAGGTATCGTGATATCATGAAGCTGTTAGGTAATTTTTCCAATGTTCCTTCACGTTTTTCTATCTTCTGCCAATCTAGCACATTCTGACAATGGAGCGCCAATGGTAGCAACAATATGGTCCGTGTATCGTGTAGGAGATCTACCTCTACTTCTTTTGCCTTCTACTTTTCCCTGGATGGTAAGTTTTTCAAGACCATTTCTTCGAAGCACATGTCCAAAATAGCTTATTATCTGTTCTGTTATTTGTGTTCTTAGTCTTTTCTTTATGTTTAGCTGGACCAGTATGGATTCATT